AACCAAAAGGACTCCTTCGAAATGACGTTCATGAAAAGATTCCTGCAGAAGACTGGTGCTCGCGATTTCGTTCGATCGTTTGAAGCCCTCTTCCAACACCGTCAACATCATTTCGCCTTCCTGAACAGCTTTCTCGATCTTGTACAGCCAATCCCACACGCAGCTGATGTTGTCCAACGTCAATTCGATGTTCATGCGTTTTTGGCGTTGTCGACGGATGTTGGTGCCATCCACTACGTCACAGGAAGTGAGCCGCTGCCGCCGGATGTATACCCTTTGCAATATGGACGGATAGCGTTTATGCCTGAGCAACTGTACGATTTCTTGTTGGCATTTTACCGTGCTGTGTATGGCGATTATCTCGTTCACTATACCCAAGCTGGTGATGGGCAAGTTTTCGTCAGTAACCAGTACTGGAAAATGAAGACGATAACGATGATGGGGCAGACTTACCGCAGTGCTGAAGCAAGATCGCGGCGTGGTGCGCACGCTCAAGTTCTGTTCCACATAGACGATCGCGGAGAAGCAATGGCCTGGCCATGCGAAATCCAGTTTTTCTTTCGGCATGTGCAGTTCGTTCGTGGGCAGCCAACAGAGCATGTATTTGCATATGTTCGATGGTACAGCATCCACAGTGACAACGATGGTCGCCGATTTACGGATCCTCATCTTGAAACGTGGTGTAGCCGTTTTCGAAGTGAAGCGATGGACTGCATTGTACCTGTTCATCGTTTATATGGACAAGTTACCGTAGTAAAACTGGGCACCAAAGAAATGCAAATGCCAGAACAGTAGTGCTTCCGTTAGCAAAAAAGATGCTAGCATAAACAACTATAACTTTTTACTCGTTTTTTTTGCCTACTAAAAACTTCAATATTCCATGTTTCTGCTGTTACCTTAGCGTTTATAATAGTACTATGTGTGTTGTATGCACGCGTCGATAATATCTTGGCAGTAGCATTTTGTTACCTAAGTTGCAAAAAAAAGGAAGATTTAGGGTTGAATTCGCAAACCAACACGTAAGCAGCAAAGCAAAAGCACTATCTATAAGTATATACGCACCCTATAGGCTTACAGAACTTTCGAAGTTGCCAGTAACTTTTGAGATTGGTAGTCGGATGCTGTTAACAAATTTCAAGCACAAAATCTAATAGTAATTAAAGAAGCAGTAAGCTAATGGAAAGCTTCTTATCACTTAGAGTGTTTCAATGAATAAAGTGAGTGATATTCCTGTTTGTGCCATAGTGAGGATTGATAAAGACGTGAGTGACGTGGAGAAGTGGCAAAAAAGAAAAAGATGAGTCGTTCTCCCCAACCACTGAAAAAAATCCCCCCCAACAGCAGCTGCATGCATAACTTTTGTTTTGCCCACCCCATACCCACACGACACAGTCGTGCAACCATTTTTTTTTATTTTCTTGTTTTTTCAACTAAACTTCGACTACCCAACCTTCCAATTGCTCTCGCGCACTATTGGGCAGAGTAGTAGTGCTAACACCATCCACTCTTATCAATCTGTTCGCGTCAACGTCGGGTTTCAATCCATCGAGATGGCGCAAAAACGCGTTTGCCTACAACAGTTTATTTAATCAACGTCGAAGCATGTCGAACCAGCTCAAAATAATTACCCTCTCGTTTCGCCATTGCGGCTTACGCACAACCACACGCTTTCCAGCTTCACCGCAGTACTCGTCGTCGGTCTCCTCTTCAGACATGTACTCCAATCGGAGCAATGCCCCCCCTCGTGGGTAAGTCGCCTCCAGCTGGGCCTGGTGCTGGTGGTACAAATCCACTCGTCGCTTATGTTTCTATTCTCTGTGTCAGATTACATATATGTACATATTCTACTAGAAATAGATCGTTTTCTTTCTTACAGTGTGGCGACGACTATTACGCCGAGTCGCCACTCTTCTTTGTGCTGCAAGCACAGCCGACTGCCGACGCGAACGACGCGTGTTGCCGAAAAAGTAATAGACCTTTTCGGCCAGCTGCTTGTGCGTAAGGTCGTACTGACCAAGACCCTGGATGTACGATATCGTACGGCCACGAACAGTGCGATTGTAGGTGGAACGATAATCGTCATCCCACCGGAAGCCATGCTCTCCCAAAGACTGATGATAATGGCGGATCGCGCTCTATTATCAAACGATATTAATAATCAGCTACTTGATCTATATTTCAGAAATGGTACATCTTGGCTTCTTACAGAAACGCCCGGCAAGCGACCCACTTGAGCTCCCTGCGCTGGAGCTTCGTCAGCAACTGGATTACCGGCGAGAGGAGGTGCTACTTGCTGCTGTGCCAGTGTCTGTCTGGCAACGACGTCCCCTATTGCTCGCACCTGATCCTCCAGCACCATGTTTCGCGCCTCCACTGCTCGGAGACGATCCTCCATCCGCAACGCGACGTTCCGGGTATTCTCCTCCTCAACAGCAGCCCGACGTTCTGCATTACGCTGCTCTCTGGCAGCATTGCGATCTCCTAAGGTAGACATCTATACAATATCTCAATGTGGGGCACTCAAACAATATTTACTAACTGCTGTTCATTTACTTTTTTCGAAGTACTTCAAAGGGATATTAAGTGAAAGAAAGATGGATTGTTTTAAAATCAGGTTTTTTTTGGATGGGGAGCATTATATCATAGGATGGGTCCTCGCGCAAGCACTCTTCTTTCTATGCATGGTAAGGATGGATGGAGCAAAGTCTGCATATTCAGTTTCTCTATTATGCTTCGCGTTTTACTCCAAAACCTCTTTTTTGTTTCTTTCTTCCCCTTTTTCCACTTTACTCTCTCCTCCTACTTTCAACACCTTTTTCGATTGGCAAGTATCGTATCCATCTTCTATAAGGTATTACTATGTATTCTATTCTATTCTGTGTCCTATGTGTTTAACCACTGTTAATAAGTGTAATCTTGCCGTGCACTCACAACTCTTCTTGATGGTGTTTTTGGATAGTAACTGCCTTTTTATCTTTGCAAGCGGGACAGGAGCATCGTAAGTTTTCTCTCCGTTACTATTCTTCTATGGTCCTTTCAAACATTTACTAGCCTTGAATACTAACGTTTTTCAACGCTGTTTGTTCTTCTACATGTTGCCCATGTCTCCTTTTCAATACAAAGCCTGTATCTACTTGACCGGTCACTACAAAAATGTATATGACTCTAGTTGCAGTACTTATAGGTAAATATTGAATGGCATCTTTATTCTGTTTCATCTCCTCTCTCTACTACTACTGTTCTTCAAACTAATTATTGCTTTAAATCTTCATGTTGTGTCCCATTTGGTCTCCATCTGCAGATTACGATCCGCCCATCCTGCTTTCATGTCTCATTTCGTTGTTGCATCTTGCTCTCTTTCTTTACAGCTAACCAATATAGCATATTTCAAAACCTTCCCCTTTCTGATTATCTTGATTGCTTATGTAAATTTTGTGAATGATCATACAATAATAAAATCGGTTCTTCCAACCATACCGTAAATAATTATATACCATCCAAATCTATTAGACAGACCATTCAGTCATCGTCATTTTATCATAGCTACAACACCTACTCACACACTAAAATTTGCATATGCGGACCTCTGTAAAGGAATTGCTTCACATAGTACCTGGTCCATATGTAATGCAACATTAGAGAACCTAACCATGACTACATACATATTATGAGCGACGCCAATTCCCGCTTGCATGCATGAGCTATATATCACACGGTTTTAACAGTGTGATATCTGCAACTTACTCGGTTTTTTCGTAAATATCACCTTGCTCAAAAACAGGGTGATATGGACCTGTTACCCTTGTTATCACCTAGATATTACCCTGTTTTTTAGCTTGTGATATGTCCCTCCACATGCAGTGGCATGTTGAAACTCGATTCAAGAAAAGTTCAATGAAGACAAAACAGCCTTGTCATCATCCAAAAAAACAAAAGAATCAACAAACAGCAGTTCATTAACAACAAGGTTCCCAGAAGACGAAAAAAAACAATTATTAAAAAAGACATTCGACTCGTTGGATAAAAAAAAGTTTTGGATATTAGAGGCGACAATTAAGGAAGCTGCTGAATGCGATGAACAACCCAAATCTGTTGAGGAAAGGATGATGAAGTTTGCGTTGCAGTGTAATTTCCGTCAGTAAGTGTCATAAGAATGAATTTACTTTGAAGTGTTTTCTCATTGTTTTTCATAGCCCTAGTTGATGGGGGGTAAACCCTAGTTTTATGTTTCTAGTAGAATTATAAATATGTAAAAAATTATAAGTAATATAATTCTTGAGTATTTATAAAAAAGAGTGAAATTAATTTTTTGTTTAAAAAAATAATTTCTCAACCCCCAGGTTAATTCTCAACCCCGGGTTTATTCTCAACCATTATGTTTTGGAAAACCAGGCTAGACCTTTAGGTCGATGCCCGACAGAATCTTTGATTCTGGAGCTTGACGAGAATAATAAAATATCCTAAATTTACAGTTTACTGTAAAATTTATAGATATTGTTTATTCGCTAATCCTGGATCCTCGATACCAGCGACGATAACTGGAATGATGTGTTTTCTCTGGAGGAGATGAGGGAGATCTGTAACACCGGCCGAACTCTGCTCCCTTCCATGGACGAACGTATTCAAGATCAGTTGGACGAATTCACGAAATTGATACGACAAGCTGCTTGTTAATTGAGTGTCTTTTTAACGTGGTTAGTTCTATTCTCATTTCTTGTAGAAGACCACTGAGGAAGCATACAAGTTTGCACAACAAATTAAACATGATCCCAGTGATGATCCGCTCTTGGCACGGTTCACGATGATGTTGTTGGCGTCATCCTTGCTATTCATTCAAAATGCCGATGTGGATGGCTTCATAGAGACAGATAAACAGTATAGAATGTTTGGATTCGTGATTAATATTTACGTTGGATCTGACATAGTAGTATCTGGGTAAGTAGCGTTAACTGCATCTAACTCTAAAGGACACATGACTTATTGACTATGTTATATATGAATATAGAAAAGAGAAAAGCAGTAAGGCGAACGCCATTGCCACGAACAAGAAGTGCAAACTATCAGCTATAAATGAAGTCCAGAGAAGAGCCACTGGTCGTAAGAGGGATGCCGTTTATGTTGGAGGGAGGAGGGGACTCGGTTGCATAGAGACAGGTAGCACTATAGACCAGACAAAAGAGTTAATGGATGGCTACATGAAAATGCCCATTGTAATGAAGGATATGCTGCTGCAAATTGTTGAAGAAGCACCGTCACTATTACACGAAATTGATATCACAGGCTACGTTATCAGTGGTACGTAAAAACGAATAATTAATTTCTTGACATATAGCAGCATTCACTTACCATCTATAAACTGCTCAATAGGCGACCAAATCAGCTTGTTGGGAATGGACGTTCCAAAAGGGTACATTGCGCGGATCCGACGAACAAATGCAATATCATTTCCAAGCAGCAACGACGATTTTGTGGTATGGATGATTAAAATAGTTAGATAATTCATTTAGTTTAGGATGTACAACATATAATGATTTATGAATAATTTTAGCTAATAACATTAATTCTTTACTTGTAATTAAAGTTAATTTTTTCTCATCTTTCAGTTTATAAAACATTTTCCCATCAGTTTTTTTATATATAGAAAAATGATCTTGAATTAATTGATCATAAATTTTCTTAATCTTAACTCTATATGAAATAGTTATTAAACTTCTTTTTACAATCTTTCTATTTAATACTAAACCCTTTAATCTGGTATACTCTAGATCACATTCCTCTATTTTCTTAATTTCTTCATTAATAGGATTTAACATTGAACTATAAAGATTATTAGGATCATCTTTCATATCAGATTCAACTAAATTACTTTACTAGCTAGATCAAAATCGGAAATCATTGCAGCTAAATGTTGCACACTATTATATGTTGCATCTAAATAAATTGGTAATCTAGAAATAAAGCTCAATGGATCCTTATTATAACCTTGTAACTCAAAACAACAAGCTAAAAATAACATAGATTCATCAGCTTTTCTCTATAATCTTGAATTTAAATCTAAGATTTCTGAAAAATGTTGATCAACCTATTCTAATCTTTTGGTAATAGATAATTTAGTTAATCCAAAAGCATTTGCTCCATAAACCTTTAATGAATTTAATTCTTTTTCAGATAATACATTACCTTTTTAAAAAAACAATAATGATCTTGCTAATTCACCACCTTGGAAATTTACTTCACCCCCTTGGCAATAAACTCTTCCTCTCCAAGTCTAGAAAGAAAGTAAAATAAAATTATTCAACATCTCTATAAAGTTTAGTAATAGTTAAAATTGAATTAATATATAAGAATTTACTATTATGAGTTGTAATTTCAAATTCTTTTCCTTTATTATTCTTTTTAATAATCTCACTCATTTCATCTGTCTCCTTATGTAATGTTTTAATAATTAAATCATTATTAAGTAGTAGATTCATTAGAAAATCTAATACTTTAAGATCAATATTGAAATCAATAGATGACATATAATCAACTATTTTTATTGACATTTTATTTATAAGTTTAATATTTGATTCAGTAAATCTTTTACTTCTAATTAAAGGATTAAAATTCTTAATATTATTAGTAATATATCCACCATATATCTTAAATTCTTTGTTATCATTTAGTTCCCAATAAATAGGTGGATATACTATAGATAATTCATGACCATCAATCATACCTAAATATTTAATATAGTTTTTCAATTAGTAACTAGGAATAATTTCTCTATGAGTTTTTTTACTTTTAATATCATATCTAGGGGTCGCAATTGGACGGGTCGGGTCGGGTCAAGGGTCTGACCCGTTGACCCACGGGTCAAGAAAACACTGACCCGACCCGACCCGTTCAACCCGACGGGTCAAAACTCGGGTTGACGGGTCACTACTGATTTTGATTTGGTGACAAAGGAGGTGTCAATCAACCTGAGCTTGAGCACTGGAAGTGCAAAACTACATATATACACAGCTCTCTAAGATGATGGCACGCAAATTCCTAGCAGTGCTAGCAATATCTACGTTTTGTGTGATTATTCTTAAAGGTAAAGGGTTTGTGCCATAACAAAAGAAATCGTTTGCGCTCACATGCATTAAAGAAAGCATAATGGTTAAAGTGTGGTTAAAAATCGACTTCCTTTAAATGCCCCTAATCCTTTTCCCTTTTCCCTTTTCTTTTCATTTCTTCCTTCTTCTTTCATTTCTCTTTTCTTAATTCCTTCTACGTCTTTTGTCAAATCTCGTCTCTCACTGCCACTCTCTATTGTCTATTCTCATTGTACTATTGCTACTTCTTTACTTTGCTACTTCTTTACTTTGCTGCTTCTATACTTTGCTACTTCTTTACTACTATTACATATATTGCTTATAGCTTACTTATCTTACACTTTTGAATATAAAATATGATCCCACAATGAAAAAGAATATAAGTACGTTTTATGTTACAGTTCTATAGCAGACATATTGACAACTACATCTTTAATATAATGATCCTTTCCAACAAGAAGATTGACTACTTGAATACAAGTACCTCATAGATATCATATGTATACACGGGTCACAACGGGTCAACGGGTCGGGTCAAGGGTTAGACGGGTTGACCCGCGGGTCAGAACAGCATCAACCCGACCCGTTGACCCGTCCTCAACCCGCGGGTCGGTTTTGACCCGCGGGTCAGATTGCGACCCCTAATCATATCGCTCTAAGATATTAAAAAGATCACTTTTCATATCCAAATAACTAATAACAGTACCATCAATATTAATAAAATTCTCTTCATTCATTGTAAAATTCTTCAAATATAAATTAAAAGTTACAATATCCTTAGATTTATCATCAACTTCTTTAATATATTTCTGATATAAACATCCTTTATATAAAGTTTTTCCTAATCTATGAAATAAAGTAGTAACTGATTGTTCTTTATTATCTTCATATTTCATAATAAAGGGGATTAACAAACTTAAAATTAAGAACAGCATCAAGGATTTATCTATTTCTTTCATTTTCAAAATACATTTTTTATTTCTAATATATCTTTCATTTTCAGAATACATTTTTAAGTCATCTTCTAACAACTTATAGTTATTTAAAAATATTCTAAACCTAGGATTTGTATTTAAGAAATCCTTAGACTTACTCATTTTTTCTAGTTTTTTCAACCATGAAGAATGTAATTTTTCTTCTAAATTTAATTTTTTTTCTTTAAGAGATAAAGTATCATTTGATAAAATTTCTTTAATAGTAATATAACCACTAGAATTTTCATTTGTAAGAGAAAAATCTTTTAAATCATTAAAAGTTGAATTTAAAATATTATTTTCTGAAGGGTTTTTATTTATATATACCACTGAAGGTAATAAAGCTAAAAGTAAATTATCCGGAGTATTAATCCAGATAATACTAGTAATTAAACCATCAGGTGTTTTAATCCTGATGTAACTTGAAATAAGCTCTGTAAAAGAGTTTAAATCGTAGGTATCCGAAGGGAAAATAGGGCAATCGCTAAAAATATAGAATAAGTTTGTAAACATCATATTTTTAAAAGTAAGTAAGTAATTAGATAGCATCTAATTTTTAAGTAATGATTTATTTAGTTTCAAGATTAATTATCTCTACTTACAGTACTACCACGAGAAGGCATAAATCAAGGTTCTGGGGGAGAATTTTATAAAATAATAATAACAAATATTGATATCATGGGAGATTATTTATTATTATTATAGAATAATAATAATAATCTTTTATATGAATCATCAACCCAGAATGATTCATTCAAGTAATAGCAAATAACTAAAATTCCAATATGACATAATAACATAATTATTAATAATACAAAATTATTTCAATCTCTTAATGAAATAATAAGGCAAACTAATTTATATAATAAAGGTCTATTCATAATAAATTCTCGTTCTTCAATTTTAATTAGTTTACTTAACATACCTATAATTAAAAAGAAACAACCAAGAATTCTAATAAATGTACATAGATCAAATACATAAAATTAAAATACAAGTAGGATTTCCATCACTACCTCTAAAATATTCATTTAATAAATTAAATATGTCTTGTGGATTTTCAATGAATTTTGAAATTAATTCTACAAAATTATTACTATTTTCATTTAGAGAATTAATTTTGAAGTTTCCATCTGGTAGAGGACTACCAGATCTTTCATTAGAGTGATCATACATTCTTTCACACATTTCTCTTATTTTTTTTCTTTCTTCATAGTTATGATTCATCATTTCACCTAATCTATAAGTAGTAAAACCACCAATAGTACCAACAACACCTAAAAACAATCCATTTCTAGGATTTGTTTTTGCAATTTTAACTGCAGCAGTTATTGTTGTTCCAGAAAGAATTCCTGCAGCAACTCCAGGAGAAGTAATTAGTTTATCATTATTAGAATTACTATTTGATGGATGATTATTTGACCCTGCTCCTCCATCTCCAAAATTAACATTAAAAGTATTTTTTGATGAAGGATTTGTATTAGATGAATTAGGGGCAGAACTTATATAAATTAATAAACCTAGTAATACTAAACCTAAAGAGCCTGTAAAAATGTTAGAAAGATTATCATTTAAGAAGTAAATAAATTCTATAAAATAAAGATGAATAGAAACAACCAGAATATTAGGAATTAAAAATACAGATGCAAATCTAAAATGATTCTTATCTATAGAATAGTAATACTTATGTTTAATAAACTTAATAATGGATAGAATATTATTCTGTAATAAAGAATAATAAGTTTGTAATAATCTATTACATCCATAAATAAGTATTTTAAACCAATAACTAGATATAACCCAAACTAAGTTTAAAGTTAATCGCAGGATACGAAGGGGGAATAGGGCGATCGCTAAAATTTTTAAAGACATTTTTGTAAACATTTTTTTAAAAAATTAATAAAATTAGATAGCATTAATTAAATAACACTATTTTTATGAAAAATAAAGACATTAAGTTTCTCATTAAATAATGATACTTATAGAATCCACCTCAAAAAGGTATGTCTGAATAAGATCCTTTTCTTTCCTTCTAGAGGAGGATATGTAAATAACTGTTTCGTGTTAAACCCATTACCCCCACTAATTTATATAAACACGTTTTTCTTTGATTTCTTTCTCTAATATTAATTGTCCCGATGCCGGTGCAGATGCTGTGATTGTCTCATAAGGAGGCGGGGGAACGTTAGCCAGCTTTTGCAGAGTGCTTTCGTACTGTGACTTTGACTAATAAAAATCATAAGAATGTTA